TACAACTGTGTTTTAAAAAAACACATAAAGGAAGATTTCTCAAGGAACTGTATTTTCTTGCTTGCTTTATTAGCATTCAGTATGGCATTAGACATTTGTGTGCAAAGTTGCATTTTTTCTGCTTCACCTCATCATCTTGCACTATTTTACAAAATAGAAGGAAATTAATAAAGTTATTTGAAAATCACACTTTTCTTTTTTTCAATAAACAAACACAGAAACTCAGAAATTTTGTTTTTTCTTTTAAGAGTGGAGAGCATCACTGGTGCTATAGCTTCCAGGCAACCATCTCTCTTTTGGTTTAGAAATCAGTGAGATCAACCCTTTTGGGGAGTAAAGAAACCAAGGAGTAATCTTAGAAGGTAACACACCTTATAATTCAAGTGCCTTTTAAGGTTGCAGCAAGGATGAATCAAACATACTGTGCCTTATACTTGCCTGCAGCAGCTCTGAAAAATCATTTTTCTTTTGTGTATTTAAAAAAATCAGCATTTCAGCTTTAAATTTTGTTTTGGAAATATATGAATTTTGGTTTACCAACTTTAATTGTCTCCTTCTCCTTTTCTCCAAAGCACAGCTCTGACTCAAAGTGGGAATGCAACTTTTTCTCCTGCTTTAGGAGGCATCCAACTCATTCTGCCCTCTACCACAGGGCATCAAGTCAGAAAGACACCTTAGTCAGAAATATTGCTCTGTTGCAGGTGCTATTTAAAAAACAGGCCTTGAAATACATTTTCTTTAGTATAAATGGGGTTTCCATTTATATCCTTCTTGACTCAATTGTGGGGCATTTATATTGAAGTGGCATCAGCTGGCACTGTTGAATGCCTCTACTGTCACAAGACATAAGGCAATGCATGAAGTATTTTCCTTTACATCTCTACTCCTTTTCTGCTGGCAGGGAAAAGCAAACTGAGTTCAGAGCTCGTAGGACTTGAACAGTGATGTGCTCAAAAAAAGTCATTTGCTGCTTTAAAGTTTAGGTTCACTCAACCTGCATTTTCACAGCAGAAAATCTTGGCAGATGGAAGCAGTCATTCAAATTTCATTTTGCTCACTTAGCCTTATCAGCAAAATGGCAGCATCCATGTGAGGTCTAAATGACTCAGTGGTGAGCCCGGCACTGTCCTGCACTAGGTGTGGTGGATCATGGCTTTGTGCATTGTTACACTGCGCAGCTGCTGCAGTGTATATACACACATATATATATTATATATACACACCATTACGTCAGGACAAAATTGAAGCCTTCTGTCACAGCAATATCCAACACAGACATTGTCAAAGTAGACCATTTCCAAGCTGTTTTAACCTTTCTCTCCACTAGCTCTTTACCAAGCTGTTCATTTAGAGGCTACATGCAGTCCTCTACACAACTCTCTCCTTAGGTGTTCTGCAGAGCAGCCAGATTAGAACAGATTTTGTGAATTCTCTTTTATGCAGGACATTACTGTCAGTATTTTTGCTCGCTGGGAGGTTTGAATATGAGGAAGGCCTTTTTTACATTCATTTATTTTGGGAACACATGAACTGGGGAGAAAAGGAAAAAAAATTGTTGATTGCCTCCCTGGACAAACAAAGGTAGAAAATACCTCTGCTGCAATCTGTGACAGTACAAGAGTCACTGTGAGGAAGAAGGTTTGACTTGTCTACAGAAACAGTTGGCAGCTCCCAAGTTTCACCTTTAATGTCATCAGAGCTGACATTCCCTTGGGAGGTTTGCCTTGCAGAGTTACTCCCTTGGCCCTCTGCAGTCCCAGGCAGAGAGCAGCCTGCTGGTAGGTGCTTGAGCTGATGTGACTGTCCTTGCAGACAAACCTACCAGAGACTTCTGAGAGAAGCCTGCTCACTGGAGCGTGGCTGTGGTGTGAATTAACCTGCAATAGTACAGTAATTTATGTAGCTATATTGTCACACTGTGTACAGAGCCTGAGAAGTGTCTCCTATTTACTGCAATTGGAGCACTTATCCTTGTTTCAGCAGTAAACTTAACAGCAGCTAAAAATAGAAGCTATCGAGCTTCACAGTAAGCAAAAGGAATGAGGTGCATGAGATAATGATCTCTCAGTCCTGCAGAGCACCTCAGCAGTCCTTGACTCCTTTAAAAGCGTCTGTGTTAAGGCTGAACTTTTCTCCTTTTCCAGACCCAGCCACGCTACTGGGAGTGGTGACTGCCCTTCCCCTGGAGGTTTTTTCCCCATCAATGAACTACAGCTCCATAAACATCCCCTAATCTACTTTGGCACTTTGAAATCAACTAGTTAGCTAGTTTAGCCCAAACTAAATTAGGAGATGTGGTGGATGAGCAGGCAAGGTAGGAAGGCAACCAAACATCTTTATTAAGGAGAGAGAGGAGGGGACAAAAAGATAGCTGCTCCCCAAGTCACTGAAACTGTGAGACTGTCACTCTTGCTGTTAGAGATGGAAAGCCTTGAACACTTCAATTTCCCAATTTTTACCTTCAGCTGCTTCATTTTATTTTGAACATGTAGTTATACTGAAGAGCTTCTGCTTGTGTGTGATAAGCTCATCTTGGGCTAGAGAGGGAAGAGCTTCTGAGAACAAGAATTAAAAATGCTCTGACAGAGCAAAAAAAGATAATTTTTAATCCACTCCTTCAGATGTATATGTGTAAGTGGTAGACACATCTTGTTCCTTCACTGATGTGGAAGAAGAGAATTTAAGCACCGTGTTTGTGCTTAAATTAAACTTTTTACCCATGTTGGACAGTTGGGATGTAATGAATCTATGTCATAAAATATTTATTTTGTGTGAACCACCTTGTGTTGTGTAACTTTTGGGGTTGAATTAACCATGCATATGTGAAACCAGGATGCTTGACCATGATTGATCACTACCTACTGGCAACCTGTAAAATTTGGCCTTTGACAACAGTGCAGAAGAAGATAAATTAAACTAGAAAGCATCTCAAAAGGTCTGTGGCAGTGCTTCTGAAAGACATATCTGATGGATGGTCCTTTAACAAAGTTTTAAATATCCATAAGATATTTTAAATATCCACAAGGCATCATAAATACTGTTTTTTTTATTTATACATCTGCTCTTTTGCCACAGCAGACAATGTCAGCCCACTGACTGTCTGCTCCTCTCCAGCCTATGATTCACAGTATCCACAGATCTTTCTCTACAAAACTGCTACCTGTAGGGGGATAGGATATAAGAAAATAATGGTAGTATAGAAAGTAATCTTACCCCTGAGGAGTTGCAGCTGGGCTAATTATTAAAGATTAGGAGCAGGCCTGACTTTAACAGGCCACAGCTGTAGCCAATAAGAAGAAGAGTGCTATAAAAGAGTGGGTTGGCTGGTTGAGAGGGGGACTGGAGTTATTGGGCTTCTGTGAGAAGGATGAGTCAGTGCTCTGAGGAGCTGCCTATGAGAAACAGCAAGGATGTATGAAACTAGCAGTAAGGAGAAAACAATATGGAACCTTTGCAATTTAATGACAACAGCTGTCTAAATAATAGTTTACTTTTTTTTTTTTTTCCATTTGTGCTTGCACAGTTCATTATTTATACTTAAACATAGAACTTTGCACCTGTCACTGTTTAGTAGCAGCCTGTGTCTCTGCAGATCATAGCTGTAATTTGTCAGCTTAATTTTGTCCTCTCAGTTTCAAGTAAATATGTAAATAGAAGAACTAGACTTTATTTCATCATCTAGTTTGATAATGAAAACATTAAATACTCCTCAACCTAGGAGAGACTGGTCAAATCCCCACTCTGTGGCTCCCTCTACTCTGATAGTAAATCACTAATATCTTGACTCAGCATTAGCTCTAGAACTAGCAAAAGTAGTTTCCTCCAGACTGTTTCCTTAATTTACACACAAGAGTATCTCAGGCAACCAAAACTTCTTCTGGAGTCAAGGCATGTGACATCATGTATGAACCTATTAATTTGTGGTAGTAGGAAATGAGAAGGATCTGGGATTATACACAGCTGATACATTCATAGAGGTTGGTACTCATCTATAATCATTTTCTATAAACTAATATGATTTAATTTATTTTTTCTCCAATTTTCCACATATATATGTTTATATATTTACATATATAGACTTGTAGTGACCACATATGTCCTCCTCTCCTAGTCTTCCCATCCTTCCCTAGGCCAGCTCTGAGGTCTTGCCATTAAATTGCTCAGTGCCCTATGATGAAGTTCATTGAACTTCCATCCAATCTGAAAGCATTTGATTTATCTAGGAGCATTCTAGGTGTGCAATTGAGTGGTTTCAGCAATCATGGCAATATGTGCTCTGTTTTACTTAGGTTGTAATAAACAAAGCACTACATCAGTGGCAACACTGAAATCAATTGAAGTTGTTCTCATGTCCAGACTAAGGTCTCCATGTTTCTGTAATCAATAGCAAAGCCCAGAACTAGAGAACCCTGTGTTTCCCAAATGTCTTTGGGGACAGTCTGGCTGGATGGTTTTAAATTTTGCCTTGAGGGTGGCTTACAGTCTTGTCTTTTCCCTCCTCTTTCTTTGGTTGCTAGGAGAGATGTATATAAACCTGTTTCCAAGAAAGCTTTTTGACAAGTCCTCTGCTGCAGGGAGAGGGCAAAGTCAGATGCAATTCTTGCTGTCATACCAACACAACTGTCTTAGGAGCTTAGAGCACCAAAGCCATCCTGGGTTTGCTGGAATTTACTTCAAGGGACTCCACAACTTTAAGCTGACTTGGTCATGTAGTTTTTGCTCCTGGATGTATTTGCTCCACTTAGACCTTGACGGAGAGAGCATGGCTTGCTGGAAGTTGTCTCCCACCACAATATAAAGCAAGGTGTTGCCACATGTTTTAAGTGCAGCTGGTGGCTGAGAGGCAGAGTGGATTTATTCTCCATGTGATAGCTGGTGGACACAACTATAGTGAGCCTGAGCAGTTGCCTAAGATTGGAAGAAAAACTTTCCCAACAATGTTACAATTGATAACATGAGGAGCAGTCTTTTAATGAAAGCTTTCATGAAAAGATTTCTGCTTATGTTATCAGTTCTAATATTGTTGGGAAAGTTTTTCTTCCAAGCTTGGGCAAGAGAGCCACCCAAAAGATATGGAAGGGAAGGAAGTACACATGGAACACCACCAAGAGGACAACAGCAAGTCTTAGAGCCTTTTGTTTGCAGCAAGTTTGTGTGGGGCTAGTGGCCAAGGTGCAAATGATGAGCACACAGCACAGAGTCACTGTCAGCAAGGGCAGGAAGAAGGCCAGGCTGGTCAGCAGCCACCTGATTGTGCCCAGGTTTGCAGAGCTGGTCAGGTTGAGGCATGAAGACCTTAAGTTTCGTGTCCCTTTTGAAGAGATCAAGAAATTGACAGGGCTGACAGCTTCCAGTGCCTTCAACAAAATGGTTGTGCAAGCCATTGCTGTCCACCACTTCCTCTGGATGTGAAAGAACTTCATGGTGTCAAACATCACCATGAAGGCACTGAAGCAGGTGAGAAAGAGGATGCTGCTGCACAATTTGAAGGGGAAGCTGAAGCAGGTGAACTTGCACATGAATTCACCAAAAATTGAGTGTTCCCCAGTAGCACAGTAGTGCATCAGGAGGGGAAGGCCAGTGAGGTAGAGCAGATATGTGAGTGCCAGGTTCAGCCTGATTATGGTGCTGATCTTTCAAGTCTCATCTTGAAGATATAAACACAAACAACGATGAAACTTCCCAGGAAGCCCAGCAGGAAGACCATGTTATGCATAATGTGGAGGTACAAACTCTTCAGACCAACTTCCCCACAGTGCATTTGGGAAAGTCAACTTCAGTGTCTTGCTGGGTGATGAAGTTGGCTAAGTTGTCATTTGTTGTGTTCATTTTTTCTCCTTAGCTATTAAAGAAGAGAGAAATGTTTGGTGTTCACTGACAGATAAGACTCCTCACTTCTCATCAAAAACAACTTATAATCAGGTCTTTCCTTTCAGCTGCTCATCAGTGCTCCTATTAAAGTGACTTTTATGAATAAGGAGAGACCTTGCTGTGTTGATAAGAATTGATCTTGACCTAGAAGACTTTTATCATATCTAGATACACCAAATTTTTATTTTAAAATGCATATTTCAGGAAAGGGCCAACACAGGCACAATGAAGCTGTAATATAAGGGATTCCACAGTATTTGAGGCATGTGCCCTCGTATCCAATGTTCACTTTCTGCTCTCATTAGGGGTCAAATTGAGAAGAGGGACAGATTAGTTGTATTGTGTTACTGACCAAAAATATAGAGGGTAATTTCCAGGACATAATTGTTCCATAAAAGGCATTTGCAGCCTTGTTGGTTAAGTAAAAAAAAAAACACCCATGAAAACAAAATGTTTGAATGTTGAAGTGTTTTCACATTCTTTTCGCTAGTTGAGTTGGTTGATATTTTTACAATTTTCTTCTTGCTTCTTGGAAACCTGTGATAGAGGAATATTTCGTTATTTTAATTCATTAACAAGATTGATGTTGCCAGCAAATAAGTTATTTTTAGGCTTGTCATTAGCTGCTACATAAATTTTCTTCCCTGTAAAAATTTTAAATGGTGTTTTGCTTTGACGTTACATGGAAATTTCCTGAAACATCAAAATAAATTCATCCAGTTTTGTAAAGCAGCCAATTGCAAGATGCAATATGGGACATGAGCAGGATCTGAGGAACATAAAGCTAGCATGGTATACAGTCTCTACAGCAGAAAATAGACAGTCACTGATGCACATAGCAAGTAAGTGTTAACATGGCATTCAGTAAATACATTTTCTGTGAAGAAGTACCCTCTTCTAAAATGGAGCAAATGTTCTGCTGGAAGAAAATTAATACATCTAGCATAAAATTTTTTCAGAGGAATGCAGCTTCTTATAGGATGATGCCTGTCCTCAAATTACTCTGGCCTGGATTAGTTAAAATGGATCCTACTGAATCACTGCTTCTGTTTCTTGTTTCACTCTGAATTTTCTTGCTGTAGCTTCTACCCTCACTTGTGAGATCACGCAGAAAAAGGTTGCAGGATTTGGATTCAAATTTGTATAGAAATTTTGGTTCAAACATATTTAAGATACATTGAAAACTGAAGCTGGAGATGGAAAAGATGTATGCCAAACACTGGCAATGGTTTTTAAAGAGCAAAACAGTTTTAAACCCCTTGTCATGGCTGGGGATGGTGCAGGAGTAGTTTGGATAAATCCAGTGGTTCTATTTCCCAGTTGTGCAGCAATACCATCATTCCCAAACCAAACTGAAGCCTCTGCTGTGGCTAATGGTTAACCAGGCTGGCAGCTACACCCTGCCTAAGCTGTGCTGTGCTCTCTCATGCTGGGAGCACCAGGGCTGTGCCCATCCCACTGTTCCCAGCACACAGCTAGGGAGCCAGCCAGAGGGCACGGCTGGGAGCTGCTCCCCACACCACTTCCTTTGTGGTTTTGGGAGAATTTCATTCTGTCAGCAGCTTGCTTACCCCCAACCAGCGTGCCGTTGTAGCAAACCATAGAGGCCAGAGGGCAAATGCCTGTGATGACCAAAAAGCACATCAGTGGCACTCAACCATGTAGTCCCTACTGGTGGCCACTTGCCCTCAGGGGCTTTTGGAGCCTTCACTCTCCATGTGCTCTATGTTATGGCTGGATGCAGGTCAAGGAACTCCCCCAGAGGCCAGACCACACCCCAAGCCCTGCACTGGATGTGGAAACACAAAATGGACACAAGCATTGCAAAAAAGGCATGTGGGTGTGGGGTGTCAGTTCTGCACTGCCCTAAGGTTACAGCAGGGACCAAAGGAAGAAGATAGTGAGTCTTTGCTGTTGGCCTTGTTATTTTGCTGTCTGAATTACAACTAGAATTTAGACAAAACTTAAATCTAATTAAGGAACAGTTTGTACTGTGGCAGATTTTATCACACTAAGTAATTGGCCATAATGGCACTTCTGCAGCCCAGGCTGAGGGCAAATGATATATGCTGTAGACACATAATGAACTTTAAATAAATTATCTAAAAGCAGAACTCGTACTAGAAGGGAACTAGATTATTGAAATAGAAACCCTCTTTCAGTCTTAATGGTGGAGTCACTGCTTTATTACATGGTATTTTTTACTGTAACCAATTGATTGGAGTCACTTTAAAAAATGTTGTGATTGCATGTCTTTAATTGCAGTCACGTATAAAAGAAACTTGTCTGCTTCTGCACTGCTATAATTTAATTACAGCCTGCTGGAAATAAAAGCCAAATGGCTGCAGCCATGGCAAAGTAACCTAGTGCCTGTAATTGGACTATATTTCACACAGATGTGTTGCTGAATAAATTAAATAGAATTTGGCTTGTAGTGTTCAACTCTTCAACTGACTCAGATTTAAAAGACACAAATGATATACTTTGGGACTGAGATGTGAGCCCTCCTTATCGTTTATAATTCAGGAGATATTTTCATGCAGAAAGAGCACTGAAGTGTTGGGTGCATCTCAGGTAAGTTTAATTTGTTCCATACTTCCATCATCTTGTAACCCTTTACTCATCTCTCTCCAGTTTGCCCTGCCTCCAAGTTCCTACCTCTAAATCAAAATATGCATTTTACTTATAAACTCTTAGTGCTGTCTTTTCTTCACAGCTGTTTTTTTAAGTACCTTACTCCAGCTGGCAGAGTTTTCTTTTAAATTCCACAGGTTTGTGCAGTGAGACAGGTTGAGAAAGCCCCTCCTGGGCTATCAGGCAAGCTGTGGGAATGTTCTGACTCTGTTCCCAGGTTTCTGCCAGGTGAGGACAGCATGGCTCCATGGTGCTAAGTGAGAGCAGCTCTGCCCCCTCTCACTTACCTGCAGACTAGCAGCCATGTCCCCAGCAGCAGGGCTGTCCTGGTGTCACCTGTCCTCCCATCTGACCTCCAACACCTGCTTGGGATGTAGGGACCTACCCTGTCTCACTCTCAGAATGGACTGAGACTGCCTTTACCCTGCCCAGTTGGGCTGGAGTGGTTTGCCAGGGCTGATTCCAGCCTCAGTGTGGAAGGCAGACCAGCAGCACTCAGGCAGTGAGAGGCAGCACCAGCTCAGTGCCTGTCTCAAGGAATACCCATCCTTCAAGTCCCAGGGCACAGGAGAGATGGGAGATGGGAGGAAGGATGCAGAAAGAGCAGGGTTTTGAACTGGCAGGAACTTCTCTGCAGACAGCTTGGTGCATGCTGAGAGCTCAGACCAAACCCTTGCCTCTCAAGGAGAGCAGAGCTCTCCAAACTGGGAACCTGTTGTCCCTCTGCATGGGTGGATCTGACACTGAGAAGAGCAAGGACTGTGAAACCAGGGCTCAAATGGGTCTTGTGCCTGGGAGAGATATTTAAGGCCATGTGATTGTGAGGGCAACCGAGGTGGAGGTAGGTTTTGATGGAGAAAAGGATTGTATGAATGACAGATAACTACCCTGACCATGTTACACAACGCATTCATTTTCTGCTGACTTGGCCAGAGGCCAGAGGAAAGGTTTTGAAGAGAGATCTGGAGAGGTGGATTGATGGGCTGAAGTCAAATTTAGAAGGTTTAGTGAGGCCAAGTTCCAGGTCTTGCACTTGGGCCACAACAATCCCACATAGCACACCAGGTTTGGAGAAGAGTGGCTGGGAAACTGGCTGGCAGAAAAGGATCTGGTCAAGAGCCAGCTGCCCATGATCCAGAATGTGCCATTGGCCAAGAAGGCAAAGGTCATTCTGGCCTGTATCAGCAATAGTGTGGCCAGCAGGACAGAGCGGTGATTGTCCCTCTGTACTCACCCCTGCCAAGGCCACACCTCAAGCGAGGCCTTCAGCTCTGGGCCCATCACTGCAAGGAAGACACTGAGGAGCTGGAGCGTGTCCAGAGAAGGAACGTGAATCTTACTCAGAGGAGTCTAGATACTAAGTGATGTGAGGAGTAACTGAAGAAGCTGGGGGTGTTTTGTCTGGAGAAAAGGAGGCTGAGGGAGGACTTTATTATTCTCTACAGCTGCCTGTAGCAAGGTGGGGGTTGGCCCCTTCTCCCAGGCACCCAGTGGTCAGACAAGAGGAAATGGCTTCTAGCTGTGCAGGGGAGGTTCAGGTTGGAAATCAGGAAGAATTTCTTCACTGGAGGGGCAATTAGATGCTGGAATGGGCTGCCCAAGGAGGTACAGGAGTCATCATCCCTGGAAATGTTCAAGAAACAACTGGACTTGGCACTCAGTCACCATGGTGGTGCTCAATCAAAGGTTGGACTCAGTGCTCTTGGAGGTCTTTTCAATCTTAACTATTACATGATTGTATGAATGAAGAAGTCTATGTCAAACTATGTGCTCCTTTTGATTATGGTCAATAAAAATACCCAGCCTGCAGTGTGATCTGGAGCATTTTACAGTCCCCAAATAAGTAGGAAAGAAAGCAGGAGAAAAATCAGCACTTCCTTGAATGTGATTACCAGCTCTCAAGAAGGGTCTGGCACAAATCTCCTCTTCCTTTGGAGATGGAAGAAGTGCTTATTCTTATGTGTCTCACAACAGAAGTTTCACTGCCTGTGCAGAGTGAATTGGAGAGAGCATGGCCCACCTAGAGATTCCAGTGTAACCACAGTGTGGACATTGAAGATTTTATGGGATGACTCTGTTTTCCAGTGTGTAGCTCTTGCTACAATGACCCTGCTGTGACCCTGTTTTGACAGGTAGTGATAGCACACGGGAGAACGGCTTTTAACTGAGAGGGGGAGGGTTTAGATTAAATCTAAGGAAGGAAATCCTTTACTGTGAGAGTGGTGAGACACTGGAACAGCTTGCCTAGACAAGCTG